TGGGTTTTTTTTTCCTATTGGTTTTGTACCTGGAAGGAAATACCTAGTCTCTGAATGAGCAGTAGTGCAATGTTAAGGAATCATAAGGGGAATTAGACTGTTGCTGAAGCTGAAGCTCTAATACTTCGGCCACCTGATGCAAAGAGCTGACTCATTGGAAAAGACCCCATTTCTGGGAAAGATTGAAGGCAAAAGGAGAAGAGGGCATCAGAGGATGAGATGGTTAGATAGCATCACCAACTCAATGGACATGAATTTGAACAAACTGCAGGAGGTAGTGGAGACAGAGGAGCCTGGTGTGCTGCAGTCCATGGGGTCACAAAGAGTCAGACACAACTTGCGACTGAACAACAAACAGGGCAGGAATTTAGGGGAGTATCTCAGATAATTTTGACCAGAATAAGAAAGATGTAGAGAACATGGGTTTATTTATCCCAGAGGAAAAAATGGATGGGAAGAACACAAATGCTTCATAAAATATTGAAACGATTATTTCAGAGATGATTAGATCCTCTGTTCCAGAAGACAGATCACTGAGCAAAAAATGAAGTTGTTTGAATGATCCATATGTTCCCTTAAATGCTGATGTTCCAAAGTTATAGGGACAGAAGCTGTGGATCAGCACAAGAGAATGCTTTCCATAAAGGAGAACTCTCTTTCAATGGCAGCGACACCCACTTCTGAAGATATTTTGATGTTTGCAAGGAGCCTGGGTTGCTGTTGAGGAAGGATATGGAAGGCATACCTACATTTTGAGTAAAATCAAACTGCATGACAGCATGGCCTCTCCAATTCTAAGATGTTTTGGTTCTTCAGTAGGGTGTGTTATAAGAATCTGTATGTGTATAAGAATCTATAAGAGTCTGTATGTCCACTGTCAGTGGTGGGAGATATTGTCTAGGTAGTGATTATTGTCATTCTCCTCTTCTCCCTTGCTTTAAGTTGCTAAGAAGAAGTTTTGCCAGTGCACTTGGATTAATAGCCTTATTTTCTACTTTACTGGGTTGTTTTTTTTTTTTCCCGGACGTAACCATTGTGAATAGTTATTTCTATAGCAGCTACAAAACCAAAACAACATACAAACTCACATGAAGAAAATCCTATACTCAGTCTGGAATGAGGATGTCACTGGATTCTGTTTTAGCAGCTAGCATGTGATAAACTGATTGACAAAGCCTAGAAATAAATCAAGATCATCCTGACATTTAGGAATTTGACTGACAGATGGTACCAGCACAAGCTCTTACATAGGTCATAGACCTATAATGAGTGATGATGTTTTCTTACCTTCTAGACAGCTACACTGCCTGACTCTAGAACAAAACATTCTGGATTTGGGGAAACACTTTCATCTTCAGCCAACTATAAATTCTACAAGTGGAAAAATAAACTTAGCAACTGCAGATTTCGCCGAACACCTTACGAACATTGAAGTAAAGTACATCCCAACACAGTTAGGTGGGGCTAAACATGTCAATTTAATGGACAAGAACAAAAATAGCTATGTAGACTAAGCAGGAAGTAGAAGATAGAAGAAAGGTCAAACGAAACAATGGCTATATTAGGATACTGTTGGTTGCAAATGCCATTGCAAAATGGCCTTGAGCAAAGGGAATTTGTTCGCTTACATAATTTCAGGCTTGGTTGACCCCAGAGATGAAGATGATGTCAAGACAACATTCCCACCCCACCCTGCTTCCCTTGATCTCATTCTCTCACATCTTGACTTTTTTTTTTCTGGAGAGTCCCTTCACCTAGTGGCTCCTAGAAACTCCAGGCTTATATTCTTTAAATATAAGTCAAATAGAGATAGCACCTCTTTCCCAGCAGTTTCAGCACAAGTTTTATTGGCTTGGCTTAGGATATGTGTACTTCCTTTCACTAATAGTAGGGACACAGAGGTGGGTAAATAAGGTCAGCATCTAAATCATAAAGACAGAAAGTGGGAAAACATGAGAAGGGGAGGAATGAATGTTGGACAGGCAGAAATGACAGATACCTACTTGCCTAGAACAGCTTTACATGATGTGGTAACATCACACTAGGACACTACTGCTAGCTATAGATCCTGGAAACTGGAGGTCCAGACTTTGCCATTTTATGAACAAAAGCTTCAGGCCCATCATGGGTGATGAAGCAGCATTAAGAACACCAAGTAGTTCTGAGTTTTGACGCTCTTCAGTCCAAGAACAGATGTCAGGCACAGTGAGCACAAGAAGACCTCACAGGAAGATCTCAGAGTGACCTTCCCTTGCACAAGTGCACACATGTTGGAAATTGCTATCTGCTAGTGTCATCTTAGGGAACAGAGAGAAACTCTGGGAGAGTCTGTGGGTATGCATAGCTATTCAGATGAAGTGTCAGCAGCCTTGATGCTGTATCCCTGTCAGAGTTCAATCTGCATCATTGCCCTCAGATGAGAGCAGTGGCCAAGGATAGTCCTGGAGACTCATTTTGTGGCAATGGATAGAAAAGAGAGGGGACATTAGTCAAAACCTGGGTTAAACTTCTTTTTGGGTGGAGGTAGGGGATGGACAAGCGGAATTACTCTTTGGCGAGGAAGAAAATGTTGTAGTAGAAGTTGCTTCTGCTGCTTTTTTGAAGGTGGGTGGATAGGTTTAGACAAAGTTATTAGCAAGTTGAAAATTATTAGCAAGTTAAAAAAGTTATTAGCTATTATTAATAACAAGTTGAAAAATAGCTTCTTCAGTCAAAGAATGAAAAAGCTGCAGTGAGAGAAACAAGTAAAAGACTGGAATTCTCTCTAAGAGCCTTGAAATGAGCCACTGAGGTTTTGGGGTGTTTTTTTTTTTTAATTTTTATTTCGTATTGGGGTATAGCTGATTGACAGTCTTGTGATGGTTTCAAAGGAACAGCAAAGGAACTCAGCCATACATTTGCATGTATCCATCTCCTCCCATCCAGGCTGCCTCAGAACACTGAGCAGAGTTCCATGTGCTGCACAGTAGGTCCTTGCTGGTTATCCACTTTAAATACAGCAGTATGTACGTGTCCATTCCAATGAGCTTTTAAATTTTTTATTTCTTTATCAGTTTTGGCTGTGCTGGGTCTTCATTGCTGCAAGTAGGCTTTCTCCAGTTGCAGCGAGTGGGGGCTTTTCTCTAGTAACATTGCATGGGTTTCTCATTGTAATTGCTCCCGTGTTGCAGAGCACAGGCTCTAGGAGCGTAGGCTTCAGTAGTTGTGGAGTGTGGGCTCTGTAATTTGTAGCACACAGGCTTGGTTGCCCCAAAGCATGTGGAATCTTCCTGGACCATGGATCAAACCTTTGTCCCCTGCATTGACAAGTGGATTCTTAACCACTGGACCACCAGGGAAGTCCAAACCATTGAATTTAAGGAGCCATTGATTTGATTTTGAGCACATGGAGAAGGAAGTAGTTTCCCTTGGGCAGCCCCTTTTGCCCACTATTACCAACCTTTATCACAAATATATATGGATATGCCTTTTTAACAAGTATTTGTATTTTTTAAATAATACAGAAAACATTAAAGTCTGTCAATGACTAAAAAGAAAAATCGTGTTTCTCTCTTCCAGTCTCTCTTTTCCATGAAGTCCAGCAGAAAAATGAAGGAAGGAAAGAAAGAAGGGGAGGACATGGGAAAGGAGGGGAAGAGGGAAAGTGATAGAGAGATGAGAAGAGAGAGAAATTTTCCCTTTTTGTAAAGGACACCAGTCATATTAGATTAGGGTCCACTCTAATGACCTAATCTAAACAACCTTTGCAATAACCCTAATTCCAAATAACGTCGCATCCTGAGGTACTGGCGGTTAGGATTTTAACATATGGATTTGAAGGGTTGGGGACACAATTCAACCCATAACAGTCCATAATTCTTCTCAATATTCTAGAAGTTATATTTTGCTCCAGGGTTCAAATTCTAGAGCTAAATATATGCTTAATACTATAATGGGGAGGATGTTGGTGTATACTTCACAATATCCTCTTTCCTATCACTGAGACCATTATGATAATTGAAGGGTAAAAGTCCATATTCTTCTATCTTGAAAGATTTATATATCTTTTGAAGCAAAAAAATGGAGGAACATCAAAATTCCTTTTGTATAAAGGGACTGATTCTTTGACTTTCCAGTAGGAACCTTTTATTAATTTACTCTCAATAGGGAAAGGAGAATACAGTACTTCTCTCTCCATTTCCACTCCCTGAAGGAGGGGCACGGGAAGAGGGTTGGTTAGTTCCTGATTCAACCTTTGAGAGGAACTTGTCCTGTTGCTGATACAAACCAAGTGATCACATGTTACTGCAAATGCCCGCTTGACCAGTAAGAGTGAGGTTTTATACTGAACAAAAGAAAGACAGCCCGACATTTAACCACAGCCAAGTCCTTTGTGGGACAGACAGGAATAACATACAGATTGCAAGCTATAAATAATGCACCTCAGGTCATCTGCATTTTGCCTACTCTTTAGGACAGAGGCTACTATTCCTGGACAGTCTGCATTAACCCTGGATTCCTGATTCCAGAGCTGATTCTTGCAGAGAGTGGTGATTTCCTTCACCTCTTCCTCTCCCTATATTTTCAGTCCAGACAAGCATAAATAAACCAAGCATAAATAAGTGGGCAGTTTCTACTCTGATCACTGAAGCTCTAAAGATAGGGCACTGAACTCACTAAGTGATGAATACATGCCATATGGAGCTAACGGCAAGTTCGGATGTAAATTGTCTCCGTCTTGCTCTCTGCATTGCAGATAAAAAGTCCCTTGTGTCATCTCTTTGTGCTGAACTGTGTGTATCTGAAAACAGCTAAAATCACTGAGATAAGTGGAACGTTTAATTTCATCCAAAAAGGACTGGGTGTTATTGCTGGCGTTAATAATTAGTAGATATTTTAAAACCATTATTTGAGTGAGGTTGCACACAATTGCTTTTATTTGGAATCCCATATTTTAGTATATGTGCTGCCGAAGCGAGCACTGGAATCCCATATTTTAAGCAAATGTTTGATTCCTTTAGGTCAGCTGCCTTAATAGTGCAGTGCAGTGCAGTGTACAAGAGTTGGGGTCAAAAGATTCTTGTTTGGCTGACAATAACATTTGCCAAGCACTTACTGAGGGCCAGCAACCATTCTAGGCACTTCAGGTAAGTTATATCATTTACTCTTCACAATAACTCTAGAAAACAGGTCCTGGTATTCCTGCTTTTTATATAAGGAAACCATTTAAATAGTTCCTAGAAGAGCTGGATTCAAATCCACATTGTCAACCACAAAGATAATACTCTTCCTGTTACTCGCTGTGACCTCTTCACTTTGAACTGTTTTGACCTAAGCAGACACAAGCCATTTCTTAGTCTCTTTTTCCTTATTCTTAAGAAGGGGTTTGAATTAAATTTTCTCTAGGGTTTTTTCTAGTTCTAAACACTGTCTTTCTGTGATTACTCCTTTTTCACTTTTCAACATGTAAGTAAACCTTTTATTTAAATACTGCCTTTCTTCAGACCCTAAGACAATCCTGTTGATGGAGGGAGGGGGAAAATCTTCCTTGGTTCAGAAATCAGAATTAATAAAGTTCAGGAACTGTTTTGCCTTGGGCCCAACTCTCTGTTGACCAATGTGCAGTCTTCTAGTAGTGCAAAATGGACTTAGGTAATTCTGGTTGTATGAGCAGAGTTTCTGAGGTTCTCAGATGATGTATGGGTGGGTTGTGATGTATGGGGTTCCCCTCTGTGTAGAATTATAGACTATTTAGGAGTTCTAAGTAAGCACTTATTATTTGCCTAATTTTCTGGTATTCTTACCTACATCTGATAAAATGTAACATGGCATAGTAATTTCTCATTGAACTTTTCTGCTTGTTTTTTTAATGGATTGATGTGCCAACCTAAATACAAGAGGCCAGCTATGTTCTCTGAAACTGTTTGTGAGTATTCCAATACAAAAAAAAAAAAAGATACTCCTTTAAAGATACTCCTCAAAGGCTCCAGAATTTGACTGAGACCAGCAATGGAATGATGAAGGAGTGTATCTTTATAAAATTTGGGGTTGAGGAGATTCAAGGAAAGATAGCAAGAGTGATTCAGATAGCCTCAGAGTAGTCCCTGCTGAACTATCCAAATAAAGTGAACTGATAGAGGACTTTTTTGTGGTACTGGTGGTTTAATTGCTAAGTCATGTCTGACTCTTGTGACCCCATGGTCTGTAGCCCACCAGGTTCCTCTAGCTCAAGTAAGTACACAGACTGGCAGATGGGACTACTTTAGAAAGAAGAGAAGAACTTTCATAGAAAGGTAGATTCTGGAAAAGATTCCTCAGCATTCTTTCTCATTGGAATGTTACCCTCACAAAAGTAATGAAGTGACATATCTAGTAGCAGATTTTAAAAAAATGAGTTAACTCCTTCAAGTGCTGTTTTTTTGCTTGAGAGATAACTACTGAAGGAAGTAATTTATTATGGATGTATAGGTTGGATATTTCAGATAGCATATCTGGTCAACACTGTCTCCTCCCTTATACTCCTTTATTCTTCCCTCAGAAGGGAATGAAAGGAAAGAAATTAGCATCTGTTGAATACTTTCCATGTATCAGACAATATATTTTCTTTTCTTCATCACTTCACCTTTCCTCCCTTCATCATAAGAAACCACTTTTGAAATGGAAATCAAAATTGGATGATTTTTATTGTTTTCTCAACAACCTGGAAACTGTGCATTAATCCCACTTTTTGGTAAAGGAGTGATACAGAATGGGATCTAGTTTCAGAATGACTACCCTCGACTTTAATTCATGGAAGGACACTATTACGAATATTAAGAAGGCTGTTTTCGCACAACCCTGTGTAAGGTTGTGTGCATTCCATTTCATCCATCCATACTCAAGAGTTCCAGAATTGTGTGTATAAATCACTTAAAATCTGTTATTTTTAAACAGTCACTAAGCCAGAACAAATATTTAATAATTTAAAAAGAACTTTCAAGATTGTAGTCCTTTTTTATCAAAAAAGGAGCCTTAAGTGCAATAAACTCGTCCTACTGATTAAAACACAGGAGTCTCAAGGCCTTCTCATGAGCTGTGGAAATAAGAAATATCAATATAACCTCAAAAGAGAAAAAGTTAAGTGTGACAGAAGTGAAAAACAAAAGTAGGCTGGTTCAGAATCTGTTCTTATATACTCATCTTCCTGAAACAAAAATCTCTGTTGATATTGAAAAAAATTTTTAATGATACAAATGAACTTATTTATAGAACAGAAATAGATGTAGAAAACACACATGGTTACCAGGGGAAAGGGAGGGTAGGGATAAATTGGGAGATTGGGGTTGACCGTTACACACTACTATATATAAAATCAATAAATAAGGCCCTGCTGTGGAGAAAAGGAAACTCTACCCAATACTCTGTAATGACTATATGAGACAAGAGTGTAAAACACAACTTAGTGATGCAGTGACGACCATGTGTATTTGTTGTTGTTCAGTCGCTAAGTCATGTCTGACTCTTTGCGAGCCCATAGACTGCAGCATGCCAGGCTCCCCTGTCCTTCACTATCTCCTGGTGTTTGCTCAAACTCATATCCATTCAGTTAGAGATGCCATCTAACCATCTCATCCTCTGCCTTCCCCTTCTCCTTGGGCCCTCAATCTTTCCCAGCATCAGGGTCTTTTCCAATGAGTCAAACTTTTGGAGCTTCAGCTTCAGCATCAGTTCTTCCAGTGAATATTCAGGGTTGATTTCCCTTAAGATTGACTGGTTTGATCTCCTTGCTATCCAAGGGACTCTCAAGGGTCTTCTCCAGCACCACAATTTGCAAGCACCAATTCTTCAGTGCTCAGCCTTCTTTATGGTTCACTTCTCACATTTATACATGACTACTGGAAGAACCATAGCTTTGACTAGATGGACCTTTGTTGGCAAAGTGATCTTTCTGCTCTTTAATACACTGTCTAGGTTTGTCATAGCTTTCCTTCCAAGGAGCAAGTGTCTGAATTTCATGGTTGCAGTCACAACCTGCAGTGATTTTGGAGCCCAAGAAAATAAAATCTGTCACTGTTTTCACTTTTTCCCCATCTATTTGCCATGAAGTGATGGGGCCAGGTGCCATGATCTTAGTTTTTTGAATGTTGAGTTTTAAGCCAGGGTTTTCACTCTCCTCTTTCACCTTCATTAAGAGGCTCTTTAGTTCCTCTTCAATTTCTGCCATTATCATCTGCATATCTGAGCTTGTTGATACTTCTACTGGCAATCTTGATTCCAGCCTGTGATCCACCCAGCTTGGCATTTTGCATGATGTACTCTGCATAGAAGTTAAATAAGCAGGGTGACAACATATGGCCTTGATGTACTCCTTTCCCAATTTTGAACCAGTCCATTGTTCCATGTCTGGTTCTAACTGTCGCTTCTTGACCCACATACAGGTTTCTCAGGAGACGTGTAAAATGGTCTGGTATTCCCATCTCTAAGAATTTTCCACAGTTTGCTGTGATCTACACAGTCAAAGGCTTTAGTGTAGTCAATGAATTAGAAGCAGATGTTTTCCTGGAATTCTGTTGCTTTCTCTATTATCCAATGAATGTTGGCAATTTGATCTCCGGTTCCTCTGTCTTTTCAAATCCCAGCTTGTACATCTGGAAGTTGTCTTTATGCTAAGTCATAAAGCAACTCTATGTTTGACACTTTGAGTAACTGCCAAACTGTTTTCCAAAGTTCTCCCACCAGCAATAGACTTTAATTTGTTATTGTCTGCCTTTGATTTTAAGACATTTAGTGGTTAATTCAGTATGGTTTTGATTTCTATATCCCTGATGGTAAATGATGTTGAGCATTTTTCAAATGATTATTAGTCATTTATATATCATTTTTGGAGAAATGTCTATTTTAATCCTTTGCCAATTTAAAAATTGGGTTATTTGTTTATTATTAGGTTGTATTAATTCTTTATAGATTCAGGATAGAAGCCCCTTATCAGATATGTGATTTGCAAATATTTTCTCCCATCTATTGGCTGATACACACTTTCTTGATGACATCTTTGAAGTACAAAAGCTTTTAATTTTGCTAAAGCACCATCTATTTTAGTTTGTTGTTCATGCTTTTATGATCACATCTATAAAACCATTACCAGAACTTTCCTGATGGTCCAATAGAATTCTTTACTTCCACTCTAAGTGATGCAGGTTCAACCCCTGGTCAGGGAACTAAGATCCCACATGCTGTGTGGTGTGGCCATAAAATATAATAATAATAAACCATTGCCAAATCCAAGATCACAATATTTACTCTAATTTTCTAAGTTTCATACTTTTAGCTGTTAACATTTAGGTTGATGGTCCATTTTGTGTTAATTTTTGTATAAAGTTGTTCTCGTTCTCTTAATCTTCACAGTATATTTAAGTAATCATGACTCACAGGTATCTCTGTCTAAAGAGGGTTCAAAAAAACCTTAGCAATTCATACTGGAAGAGATTGAACTTTGGGGGCTGGATTGCTATTGAAGTTATAAGCAATATACTCTAGAAAAACATGTTCTAACAATGATTCTTTTATTTATAATTTATCATAAATAGTTTAAAGATGACAAAAATTGACTTATGATTACTCTTTCCTTTAGAAATGGGTATAAACAATTGAATTAGGAACAGATACATTAAGGAACAGTATCTTTCATGTTCTTAAAAGACACCTTTCTGCCTTCATGTTCACTATGGGAATTGTGGCTATAAACTTTCAACTTAATCAGAAAATTAAAGTTAGATAAAAGTAATAAAAAAATAGTCTCACCTGGGAAAAAAATAGCCCCAACTTTCTTAAGAGTGTAAAACCTACATTATTGTTATGAGAAATTCTAAGTGCCTCTTTTTGATTTTGCACACATGTACCCGTTTGTTGGGCTTTCCTGGTGTCTCAGACAGTAAAGAATCCACCTGCAATGAGAGACCCCTGCATTAAAGTCAGGCATTTCTGAGATCACAGAATTAGAGCTGGAAACGGTCTTAAGAGTTTATCTCTTCTAACCCTTACTTCTTGGTGACAAAGTATTAGCTTCCCATTTACATTTCCCAAAGTAAAAGTTTCCCATTTCTCATTTTACAGATGAGGCAAATGAAGCAACTCTCTTCTCTGCTTTATTTCTTGGCTTCCTCCTTTT